TATTTGAAGGCATAATCATCTTGGTGAGTGCCAACATTTTAAACTGAATAAGCTAAAAGGAAACCAATCTCTGTTTTTATATATGTTTAGCAGATAGACATAACTTAATGTAAACTGACCTAGCTCAAGAAATATTTTGCCTTAAATTGTTAATATCTGACACAGAAAAGAAAAAGTTACAGTCATACCTATATGCCGAAAATTATTTGAATAATTCATAATAAATTATGTAAATTATGAATCTATGTATCCAAACCATTGCATATTTACAGTCGATGTGAAGTTATTTCGGTTATATCCAAGAAAACTGATGGAACTTATATAACTATCGGTATATCCAACTCTATTAAGTATTTTTTTTAATTTGAGTTTTTAAACATTCATTTTTACCTCTGTTTATTATATTAATCCTAAATATTAGGACATTTGGAAGTTAACTATTTCTATACTATCTATAGAATTAATTAAAACTATTTATGAATGATGGGAATTGCTTTTAGTACTTTTTCCCATATTTTCATAAACGTCAATGCATTAACAGGAGGCCGTTACATTTGCCTGTGTTGTTCGTCCAAATATGAAACAGTATTGCTCTAAAAGATATGTAGAAAATGACAGAATCAAAACTTGCTTTATCCTTTTAGAATTACAGACAAAATAAAAAAAATAAAAAAAATGAGTTATATGTATTGTTCATACCAAGTATAATCAGCACTTCTCAGCCGTTGAAGAATCCAGTTCCAGAGATTACGCCTGAGCTGCCTGTCTGTTGTCCGGAAGCAGAATCCTGACTGATACTCAGCTCACATTTTAACCTGAGTCACCCTCAGCTTATGAGACAAAGTCCAGTATGTGTGATAAAGATAAAGTTTATTAGAAAGCTTTATTTCTTGTGTGTAAAACTTGTTTGTTTTAATTATGTAACATATCTGTATCTAAGTCAACAGTGTAGTCACTCTCTTTCTAGAAAATTTTATTAACCCATAACAATTTCTTTTAAGTTACAGTAAATTATGTAATCAGGGCAACCAGACATAGTTTTTTTCTTTGAAATATATATACTCATTTTAAGACTGTTAAAAATTAGATTTAGCTGGTGTTACTTTGACAAAAATTTCTCGCCAAATCTGCAT